CAACAACTATTATTAAGTACGACGAGCGCACACTCGACGACTACTACAAACACCGGGCCCGACGCGTTTCTGAACGACTACGACATGATGACTGCCGGCCGACCGTTTTTATACGCGTCATTGAGCCCGGCGTGGTAGTGGCTGCTTGTACCGCCGCGCGCACGCGCACAAGTAGCGCCGCACAGTCTCGCGATTTTATTATTATTATTAAATATTATTGCATTATTATCTCACAATATTGACATAATACTCTATTACGATATTTACAAAAAAGAATTCATTTCGTGATACAGGTATTGTATCATATTATTATCTGGATGATTTTTAGCACAACGATATTCATGAGGTCGACCAGGATATAGTGTGGGCGATCGTTATAAATTGGCTCTAATAATATTAGGTAAATTTCCTATCCTATTTCCTATCCCTGTTTGACATTTTATTTCCGTTTGATAGGACTTTTTTTTCTTGGTCTTTATTTTCCGGAGTATTTTACCGTTTAGCATCACGGACCTAATACGTTGCGCAATTACCGATATCGCGATAGCACGACAACAACCTACGATTGTTTACATGTATAATATTAATATAATATACTATAAAAACAGATAAACTGGTTGGACACGAATTAGTAGTTTTATTAATTTATAATAGTAAAACATTATGTAAAAATAATAAATATTGGTGCGAATGGGAAAAATAAGTAAACAACATGTATTTTACCCTACCCCCCCCCCATTCATCCATAAATAAATGTTGAATAAACAATACTTTAGGAAAATGTTTAGTACCCAATTCCTAACTTGCAACATTTTGTAATTTCTGCTCAACCCGTTTGCCCAGAAATATTTCGTTGGCGACTAGTGTATGTCCAGAGCCTAATTTACAGATTTTCGGGCCAGGGATTTAGATACAAAAGATACCTCACTAAAAGGTGTAAATTAAACAAAGTAAAAGTGGCAACGCAAAACTCACAAAAGCTCAACCTTTTAAAATACTATGGTCCAACGAATTTTATTGGCGAAGTTTTTGGTTCAATGTAAAATGCCAAACTTGATTGGTTAAAATTTGTTAACGAAAATAAATTATTTGAAGATTGCTCAAACTACTTATTTTACTACTGTAAACAAAAAAATGTTCCAACAAAATATTATGTTGGTAATTTATTAGACATTTTTGATTTAGCACTATAAAATTTTTTTAAATTATTTTTTGTCAGTATAGATCTTGTTTAAGTTAATGCTGCCCACTGTTTTAGTATAACAGAATAACAGTTTGTTTAAGAATTTCTTACCGAATAAAATATTATTATCTCCTTAAAAATTAATCACGCGTGACTTAGAACGCAAATTAAAATATTATGCCTTTTTAATCACTCTCGATTTTGCGTATTAGAATATTATACCTTTTGGATCACACCTATGATTAATAACTTGTGAGCGGTTATCTTTTGTGGATAGAAACCGAGACAGCACGTGGCATACCGTACAGCTCTGTGCATACTGGATAACCAGCATATTTCGCTGTTGGGAAAACGTGTCAATTTGTTTAATCATGGTTGTATACTCGATGCGGTTATCTCATCGATTAATTATTTTTTATCCAAATGAGTAGATTAATTGGAATAAATCATGCAAAGGTCTCTTTATATTATTGTAACATTGTACCTATAACTTAAGAATTTTTTTTTTTAAATAATTTATTTTACGAAATAATTAATAGTATAAGTTATAAAAATGAAGATTTATTATAAAGTATAATAAATCTTTTTATTTATTGTTACTAGTAACTACCCTCATTTAAATATAGTACATTATATATTTTTCTTTGACTGTATATTTACTAAAAACTGTTTTACTCATAATCAATATAAAAAAAAATAATTATAACACAATATTATTAATAAAAATGTTTCCCAAAATATTTGTTTAGTAATATTATCATTACAAAGTGACGCAGTGACTGAGAGAATTGACTTAAAAAAATTTCTGTATGATATTTTCGATTTATAAGTTGTTCCTACATACATATTAGTAATTAATAAAGTTACAATGTGATAGTCATTTTATTATTTGAGAATATATTTAAAATATTTTTCTTTACACATTTTAACAAAATGTATTGTAATACAATATTTCCTAGGAGTAAAAGTTAGTTTTAATTTATTTCTAAAATACCTGTTGAACATGTTGGTGGGTCAGGTGAATTGATGTAACATTGAAACAATTTGTTTGAGAGAGTTTCGGATGAATAGTTGTCATAGGATTGACTTGGGGAGGTGACTGATGAGCGTGTGTCATATTTTGGCGAGTATGAAAGTGAATCGTATTCTAGATTTGTCACAATTTTGCATACTTCGTATTTTGCTATAACAGCTAAATCATGTGGAAATTCGATTACCATTTTAGCCATATTATCAAAGAACAGTTCTATAGGATGCATTTTATTTTTATTCGGATCAATATTTTTTTTTATCAAATCCATTGTCTCTTCACTTTCTTTTTCTATGATCTCGATTATTTCATCTGTTGAGATGACACTCTTTTGATTTCTGATCTGATCTGATGGTCTAAATCATAATATATATCTCTATTTAGTATTATAAATAGTAAGACGAACAACCAACATTAGCAACATTTCTAAATAACATTTATATAAACAGATAACTTACTTCTCATCGTTAGGAATCCTTTTCAAAAAAGACATTTGCTCCATATACTCCCAAGATTTACTCTTTCCAATAGGAGAACCTGTTTTTTTCATATTTTCTTTTATTTTTCGATTATATAAATCTCTAATTGTTCGCCATCTTGTCTTACAGTCTGTGCATAAAAAAGTCATTTTAAATAATAGTTCAACATTTAATTACGAGACCTATTATTTAGGTTATTTTTTATTTAGATTTTTTCACTAGAATTTTACGTTGGTAATTATTTTAAGTCTAATTACTCTTGAAGTATACCATACTTTAAGTTAGAAATGTGTAACTATTTATACACAAAACTGGTCAGAACAAAATTTTAAAACTAGGTATTGTCAGCGATTATTGTAAAATATGAAACTATATCATTTGTTGTAGGTAATTAAAAGTCTAGTCATAATATTATGGCCTTCTATATAATATTTAAATAAATATTCATATAAATTAAATGTTGTGATGAGAATTGTGGATTTAAAAACAATTATTTTTTAAATTTAATCTTAATATTAAAGTAAGATGGTAAAAAAAATTTTTCTCAAAAAACATAGTAAGTCATAGAAAATCTAGTACAGAGTGAAGTGATATTAAATGTATGATATAAAGAAGCTGTCTGTTGATGTACACGATTTTCTCACAATAAACGAAATGCAAAATAATATGTCTTATTTCATTTACAAGTAGCATAACTTTTGTTTTAATGTACCGAATATGATACTATTTTCGTAATTGACTATCTAATGTAGTTCTCCCAAAAATTGTTTTAGAGAAATAAATATAAATTGTATGGTGTTTCAATCAGCTGATTAAAATATATTGAAGCCGAATCAATGGATTCTGTAGTATTCAATTCTAAATAGTTCTTTTTGTCAAAAAATAAAAGATTTTAATAGGATTTTGGAAGCCTAAGTAAAATCAATAAAGTACCTAACCTAAGTCTAATAAAAATTATTAAATACCAAAAACAGCTTAAAAGTAATACTCATATAATTTTATTTTTATCACATAAGTACTATGATAATAATATGTAAAACTATCTTCTTATAAAACAATAAAACGTACACTTAGTATTTATACCATACAAATTAATTATACTAATATATGCGATAAGCAATCAACAGCAGGCTTAGTAGGTATATTAGATTTAGATACGAATAAACGATTAACGTTCAACTACGCCTTGTAGTCTATGATAATATTTAGTAGGTACCTATCCTGTTGTTACTTTTAATTTTGTTTAATATTTATTTTTCGAAAAAATATAGAATATGGAAGTGTATGTAATTTAAAAATAAATGAATACATCTCCATCTTAAGTAGGTACTTAACAAAATATAATGATCTAATCAGACATTTCAATCGAGATTTACGTAATGAACAAAAATCACTTACCGCTTCTTTTGACAGTTTTCCCTATTTTTTGCCATATAAGATCACGTACAATCTTACATTTATACTCCTCCTGTGTTTTGTCATAAAGTGCGGGGTAACTTTTGACACATTCAATAAGCAATTTGTTTTCGTCTCTTGAAAATCGGCAACAATTTTTTACTTTTTTGGTTGCCATCTTAAACAAACTTCATGTCACGTAGTTTTAACACGAATGTTGTTTTCCATACGAGATCACAATAATTTATAGATTTTATGGAGTGGGTGTATTGGTACCTAAGATAAGTCAAAACTAGTATGTGTGATATGCCACTGCTTTATTGTTCAGTTACGTAGTTAAAATTCTTTTACGAGACACAAAATATGTTTCTAATTGCTATGAAAACCAATAGATTTAAAGTTAAAAATGAATTCACTGATTTTTCAACTATTCACATATACCTATTATGTTAGATTACATTTTTTAAGTTTGTATTTATTTCAATCATTATTTTATCAAGAGCTAATTAAAAAATAAAATAAAATAAAAACGTATCACTATAAAACCAATACATTGCAATACACCTGAAAAATACGTAAATATTATTTAGTCTAGAAACTAACTAAAAACGTAATCAACATAGTTTTATTATGCTAGTCAAATTATATTATTAACGTTAAACTCATAAAAGCTATGTGACAGTCGAAGGATCAAAATAATTAAGTACTCCTGCAATAAGCCCGAAAAATTATTTCTACCTGTACCTAATGCCACGATAACATCATACCTAACATTCAGTTTTGAACTCGCCAATCTATTTTGTTGAAATTTATCCACAAGTGCTCTCCACTAGGACGATAGATTAAGTTGTTAAAAAAAACAAATTTCACGGAACTTTCAAAAATCGGAAAAATATTTTAAATTCCAGTGAGAGCAATGCTTCTTTTTTCTTTGATGGAGACTTTGTGGACAATAAAAATGGTGAAGTCGGAAATCGGAATTCTATATCAAATAAAATCATATTTTGAAAACTCTTAAACAACAAAAGACATTCAAATGCACAACAAAAAAATATGTAATAATGTTTGATTTGTAAATTGAATGAGGAAAACGTAAACAAAAATTCATGAAAAAATCATATTTTGTTTTTAAATGATTTAATGTAACGATTACACGGATTTAAATAACTATAAAAATAATTATTCATATTATTTCATAGTCAATTTCTATACTCATTTCATTTGGTACCTATATTTCACGTCACAAAGTTACTAATTCACAAGTTGTTCGGCCAGCTGAAGTTTACGGATAATCAAATATCCAGGCTGACATCTCTCAAAGGTGGAACCTCTGATTACAACGTCGAAACCATCTTCAATCGGTCGACGGTCTATGTCAAGTCTAGTCTGACTATAAAATATATTGAGTAGGATTTTTGCTGATAAAACTATTATATGATTATTACCTATTATATAATTTGTTTTTATCAAATATTTAATCTATTTATTTTTTTACTTGTTTATTACATTATACTACAACAATAATGTAGTGATTGATGAAAAAATAAATTCACCATTTAATGACAAATAGCCAATAGGTACTTAAGTTGTTTTGAAAATACCTTTTTTAAGATTAAATATTTTTATCAAGGAACTACTCAATGAGATACCAAACCATAGTATTATCCTCACCTTAATAGATCTTATGAATGCGTTGTATAATGAAATAAATAATTTCATAATAATAAAAAATATTTTTTTATTAGATTAAATATATACATAGGTAATATTATACAATATTAACAGCATGGTATATTATATATTATTTAAATAATTAAAAAATACTCGTATTGATTGATAGGATAATATCAAAATAAGTTTTTTCTACAATATTTAATTGGTGAGTCCAATATAAGAGTAATACTTAAATTATATATGACTTAAAAATATTTCAAAGGTTCTCTAAAAAGTAAAAACTTTACAAGTACATAACAATTATTAAAATAGATAAATACACATAGTCTTATATTTTACAGTAAAAATCCTATAATTTAATCAAACAAACAATGTATCATATATTAAATCCTCAAATTATTTTTTTTTTTATACATTTAAATACCTACAATTATACAAGAAAATATTGATTTTTATGATCAATTTAAGATATAAGAGCATCAAAGGGTTAATCTAAGTGAAAACCTATTTTTTCATTTCGATTTTATAAAAAAAATAGTGTCTATTCACTACTAGGTACCTACTCCGTATTAATTTAAATTAGATTGTTATAACATAAGTTGGTACTGCAATTGCTAAAGTATAACAAAAATGCAATATATTTCCTTAGAAAGTATAAAAATGTATTATACATCACCAAATAACATCAAACAATTATCATTAAGTTATTTTATCACAAAATTCCTATAAATTGCAAAATTAAAATTGTACCATTATACTACCATTAGATTTTAGATTTCGTATTTCCGTAGAGACGAGCACAATGTATTGGACCAAAAGAAAAAAATTAAAACACCTCAAGTTCCTGGGTCTGACTCATCATAAAACTGTTAATTCAAATTATACGATTGACAATATTTACTTGAGGGAGTTGCAGATGAAGGTGAGTAGTATTCCGATGCAGGATATCTTGAGGGAGAGCAGGAAACAAAGGCTTGTCCATGAGCCTTTGTATCAAGTGAGCGATATTTTAAGTCTATCAGAATGCTATTTATCTTTAATTGTGCCTCTGAAGCTAGAGCTGGTGGAAGGCTCATAACCGTCTTTGCAAGACCCTCAAAAAAAATTTCTACTGGATGTTTTTTGTTTTTTGTTTCGAGCAATTTATTCAGAACTTTCCTTCTTTCCTCACTATTTTTCATTATAATCTCAATGAATTTGTTATTTTTTAACGGACATCTTAAAGTTGGAACTATCTGGTCTCTTTGAGCACATTTATCATCTACAGCCGCTTCTTTGGCATTAAATTGATCTTCTGTAGCCTGAACGGAAATTATTGGTTGTGTGATATCTGCAGGTGAAATCGAAAAGTGACTATATAATAGTATGAGATAATCAATATTTATTAATTAAAATAGCAAAAAAATATTAATAAGAAAAGATGAAATATTTTTTTTAATTATTTACTTTTGTTTGTTGATTAACGTCGTATTTACAAAAGACATTTGACTATAACTCTCCAACGGAACTCCGGTTAAAGCATACGTACCTATTGCAGGTATATCCATTTCTCCCGGTTTTCGAAAATTTAAAACTCAAACTCCAACCAGGTAAACGACACGGAATTAATAGTTTTTAAATATTTAAATTGTGAAAAAAATCGGATGTTATATCAATGCGTATGCCGCGCGCAGAAATTATAAAATAAATCGAGTACAACAGGTTTCCGTAGAATGAACTCCAATATCACTTCTATTTTGTTTTATATATGGCATGTGCACATGTCACGTGTATTGCTATGTGTTTTCTGGAGGAGGAGTGGACGCGCCAATCATTATCAAATCCGAAATTATCTCATAAATTCCATTTTAGTTTCGAATATAATTTTAAATAACTAGATACTCGTCATTAGTTGTTCTAATTAAAAATTGATTATACATGATGAGTGACAGTCCCATCAACCCACTTAAACACTATTTAAGAATAATAAATATTTTTTTAACATAATATTAATTCACTTAAAACATTACTCATTTTAAGTGTACCTACCTATAGAAAAACACATAAATAGCAATTTTTATGTTCACCCCATTGTAATATTTTCGAAAAAAAAAAATTGATTATATTAAAAATTGTCTCGATGCCTATATTTTGTTTATACTTTTCTCAGAGATATTTATGAAAAGTTCATGTTAACTGAAATCTATTTATTTGTATGAGTATTGCTTATATATTAAGCTAGGTAAGTACTTAATACTTTGTATACTCCGTTATCTCCGTTATAATCGTGTAACCTTTTCACTAAAAAATTGAATGAAAAACTCTGTAACATTTTATTAATAATATATAAATTTTGCAAAAAAAAAATATTAATACCTCATAATAGACTACAAGTTAATATTTTTAGATATTTGTTTACATGGTCTGTCTTTTATTAAACAAACACCATTTTAAAAATATATATACTTAAGCTACCTTTCTAAAATATTTCAATAATGAAAATATGTTATTATCTGACTCCTAAAGTCCTAAATAGCAAAAAGAAATTCGCATGGAATATTCAAGTCAACGATTATTTCACCCCTATAACAAAGATTAACGACGAATATACTGAATTTTTGGAAAATATATTTTGTTCAACAAGAATTTATACCAATAAAAAAAGAAACTTAGAAAAAAATGCGTCTAGAAAAATTTGCTTTCGTTATTTGTTTTTAACACCTACGACCTACTTATGTGTTTTAATTTCCGGTGATTAATATGACTTTGACTATAGTATAGCCATGAAGTTGGTTTTTTCATGCATAGGTAATACACGTGTGATTGAGAAAATCTGGAATGAGTTAAGCACGCGTTATTTTAGGCACGTGGTTCTAGTATCTAGGTACGTCGTACGTGCTCCGCCGTGCAGTCTACGTGCATTCTATGAAAATTGATGGTATGTATATCGCTCAAAACGTATTTTATGCTCAGTGAAATTTACAAGGTTAATGTGCCTAAAATAATATATGACCATTTTTATAATAATATCATGTAAATAAACGAAATAATTAATCTTAAAGTTTTAAATGCGTAACACCCATATCCTATTCATGTTTGTTTCCGTAAATACGGCATAGGTACGGCTGATTTTCTAATATACACTATTTGAGTACTAAAATATAATTTATGATTATCAGCTCTTACATTGACAAAAAAGGTAATCTAAAAGATCTATCCCCCTCTTACTCCTCCTGTTTAACCTAATATATATGTATCCTAAACACTGTTTGCAAATTAATACAATGTATTTAGTATGAACAAATAAGAAATATAACCTATATAAATCAGACTGTGAATTTTGTCTAAGATTTGACATGTAAACAACAAGAGTAAATAACCACCACCACCACCACCACCACCACGTCAATAAATCCATAGGCACTGAAATGGACATGAATGAATACGTCATGAAAAGCGTGTCAAATAAAATATAATATTCACAATCGAGATAAATCACGTACGTACCGCCTACATGTGGCACGTGAACCTCGAAAATCCGTATTATGTTTCTCGACCGTTATTTATCCCAAAAAACGGTTGTCTCACCATCTATAGTCCTAATGCCCGACATATGAGTGACATAATATGTCATTTATCAGAAGTAGGTCTTCAACCCGCGGCACATGTACTAGCTTATTTGCGATTACGTGTTAGTCAACCAATAAGTATAACCATGAAATCATTGTTTTCTTAGTTTTTGACGAAAATCAACCTTTTCTATTTATGTTAAAGTGGTCACTGATCAGTTTACACGCGCTCGAGAATATTGAACCACAAAGGATTTCAAACGCTTTCAAAATATGATACCGATTCTAAATAAAATAAAATTATAGTAGACGTACTGCAAAATTGATGATCGATTGTTTTGCGTTTTAGTTGCCTTAATTTGAAATGGGTACAATATTATAATACTATGTTTTTACACCGCTGTAACTATATTAACGTTATAATGACAATTCAACGTTAAAACGTATAGTTAATTTTAGAATTTACGAAGATTGAATTAAAATAATAATAGTTTAATTTTCATGACTTAATAGTATTAATGTACACTATACCCTAGTCTTTTAATTCAATACCTATATAATATAAACGGATAAGTGATTTTTAGTTTTCAATATATTTTCCTTTTTATAATCTTATCAGGCTCACAATTTTTTAACATTTATCTCCAAAGTCTTGACAATTGCAAAAACAGGGTGATATTAGGTTAGGTAACTGGCTAGGACAGTAGGCGAATTATGTAGTGATATTATACACAGTCAAGTCACTTGACTCAAGTGAGTAAGATAAATAAACATCCTACTATTACTACTTATATTAAATATAAGCATACAAAATCAAAATATTACCAGTGGTAAATCAAAACATTAATTGGTTGGTAGTATTAAGAACTTGACTTCCAAAAATGACTAGACAAACCTGTACAATTAAATTAAATGATTAATTTATCGGAAATTTTTTTTGAGAAAACACTCAGAAAACGAAGAATATTGATCGACTGAGGCATATTTATCAGATGACAGAGAATAAGTTTATAAAGATCTGAATGATAATTTCGATCAATCCTTAAATGATCCTGAGAAAGACAATGTTTAATATATGTTTATGATAAAAAAAACTTTTATAAAAATATGTTATAATGAATTACTACGTTGATCTGATTTAGTTGGTTTTTGCAAATCTTAATGCTCATTATTTATAGAGAAATGCACATATAAATAAGCAATTTATTCCATTGTATACAGCACAAAATGTTCAAAAAAAAAAATTTAATTTTTTATAATTAAGTCAAATAAAAATAATGTTTTTAATTAATTGATACATTTAAGAATTTACTAACCAGGACGACCAAGTGAATAAATTGGCCAGTGCCAGAAACGATAGGATGTTTTGGATAGGATGTATTATTTTTTTTATAGAAAAAAAAATGTCTGGAGGAATTGATAAAATCCCAATTATTGTAATCTAATGTTTTTGTTTAATTTTTATATTTTTCACAAGTATAAGTTAGCTCAAGTGAGGTTTAAAACCGATGTTAAAATCAAAAACTTGACGTATAAAATAATATTTTTTCTACGAAACCCAAATAAACAATTTCAGAAAAGCGTTGTGAATTCAAATCTATCTTTAGTTTTCATTATTATTATTATTTTAAGTTTTTATTCGTCGAATCTTTATTATACTCTATACTACTAACCTTATAATACTGACAGAAAATAAAAATGAAAATTAACTTCTGAAAATGCATACATACGCTTTGTGTTACGTTGGGTGCCAAGAATAAAACGAATTACCATAAGATATATAAACACCCACTCCTCATAATAATTGTGCTCCCCGTATATGAATTATACGTCTTGGCTACATTTTAACTAGCATTGAGGTCTAATCTATATAATACACGTCTCGTTTTGTGTATGAATAATATTATTCTAAGGAACTACTCGTAACAACTATAGTATGCAATTCATAAACCTACCACGAGACTATAAGTTATTAACTTTTTTCCTAATAATAGCGGCATCACATAGAACTAACTACCTATATAATACCACAGCACAGTTGTTATACTAAATAATAAATATTATTTTCATGGTTAATATAACGTTTATATACCTACAACTGACGCGTGCACAGAAATTAGCCTTTCTACAAAGTGTTATCAGCTGTACATCGCGATACAATTAAAATAATTATCATAATAATATTATACACAATAATAAAAGGTTATTTTTTTGATTACTGAGATGATAATCCAAGAAGCACACTCTAAATTCATCATCCTTAGCGATTCATTAAGTAATATAAAAAGTCTAAAAAAAACCAGTTCAACCCCGGTGATATTGCATCTAAAATCCAAAACAACCTCAACAAAACTTCCGACTCAGGCAAACATAATATCATCATTATGTGGATACCTAATGGACACTCAGATATAATAGGCAATGAGATGGCCGATGAACAAGTCTTTATAGCAACCCACAATAATGAAACCCCTTAATAAACTAAATGTCATATGATGATTCAAAAAAATACATAAATTAAGTCACAAAAAATAAACGGCAAAGCATCTGGACCAGACAAAGCACCAAACTTAAAAAGATTATAAGAGATATTTTCCGTTGGACAAACCCTACTCTCAACCTCAAAGAAGATACCATTCGCAACCGTCTCCGAATCGGAAGCACCCGAATCACCCACGGTTTCCTGATGGCCCGAGAAGACCCTCCCCCCCCCCATTTGAATAACCTGTGGAACTATCTTAACAGTCAAACATATTATAGCCGACTGCTTAATGTTCAATCAGGAACGGTACGAGAACCAGATTTCCATCCACCTAAGGACCTCACTTGGACCTGATCATGAAAAAAACCGGCACATGATCAACTTCATTAAACAAACAAAATTATTCAGTCCTCTATGAAAATAAAATGTCACCCAATTAAAAATCCTCACTGTATGTAATAATCACTTCCTAAAATCAATAACTGTAACTAAAAAAATAAATTACAAAACAATCTCTAATATGACTTATTTTGTACGGTGTTTATAGTGAATTATTTTAAACCATTATAAACAGTGAAGTTTATGTTAATTCAATACTTCAATTTACCGTAGTCTTTATTTTAGTTTTTCAGACTATTGTCCATTAGCATACCTGCAATAAAAAAGTATTAAATAGTGAAAATTAATTTCTACTCTCTATAGGCACTGTTTATAAGTTATAGTGATTAATAATTATTAAGATAAATAATGATAAAGA